GGTTATCACCTACTCCAGACAACAGGTTGGATGATGAAAGGGAAAAAAGTTGGAGAAGCAATCAAGTTTCACTCTGATATGCAAGTGCTGTTAAAGAAAAACAGGACAGTTCTCATCACAGATATCAGGGATGAATGAGATGTGAATGGCACATGTACTACTGTTCTGAAGCCCATAAATAGGATCTCCAGAGACAGTGACAGAAAATCCCACTACACCTTTTTGAATCAAGGAGAGGATGCTGTGAGCACATGGAAAGACTGAATAAAATTACCTAGAGAGACAAGAAAACAAAGATTGGAAAAATGGACCAATTATAAGAGGGCACTTGCAATTTTAGTCCTGTCTTCTAGTTGCTTTCCATCCTCTCCATCTGACTGCTTTGATCCCTGCCTATTTTCACTCACATACTGGATAATGTCTCTGACAAGAACTGCCACAGTCAGCAGCTGTCTAGAAAGTGGGAAGTTAAAAGGACAGATATATGTAACAAGTTTAGGGAGCCATCTAAGCAGATCTGCTTGGAAGTGAGTTTCATTTAATTCAGTGGGGCTAACTCCCAGAAAGAATAATTGAACAGAGTCAATGATGTATAGTGGTTAGAGTGCTGAACTAAGACTAGAGAGAACTAAGTTCAAATCCCCAGTGCCCATGAAACTTTTTGGGTGGCCTTATCCCTTTATTCTCCCGCAGCTTAATATATTTCACAGGGTTGTTGTGAAGCTAAAGTGAAGGAGGGGTGAACCATGTATGCTACCTTGAGCTCTTTAGAGGAAGGGCATAATAAAAATGCAATAAATAAGTACATTGTAAATTAAGCATTTTCAGAGAGTTATCTACCATGACTCCAAGATTTTCTCCTGGTCAGTTACCCCCAGTTTGGACCACATCAACATGTATAATTGGGATTTTTTTGCTCCAGTTTGCTTTGCACTTGCCCATGCTGAACCTCATTTTCCATGATGACACCCACTTACCCAGCCTCAACAGATCCCTCTGGAGCATCTCACAGTCTTCCCTGGTTCTCACTGCCCTGAGCAACTTAGCGTCATCTGCAAACTTAGTCACTTCACTTCTTACTCTCAACTCCAAATCATTAATGAACAAATTAAAAAGTACTGGACCTAGTAGAGTGCTTAACACTGCCACAGGAAGGGGTGGCGGCTACAAGCATGGACGGCTTCAAAAGGGAATTAGATAAGCATATGGAGCAGAGGTCCATCAGTGGCTATTAGCCACAAGGTATAGATAGGGACTCTGGGGCAAGTTATGCTCTGTCATCTTGATGCTTGGGGGGGGTCAACAGTGGGAGGGCTTCTACTGTCCTGGCCCCACTGGTGGACCTCCTGATGGCACTGGTATTTCTGGCTACTGTGTGATACAGAGTGTTGGACTAGATGGGCCTTTGGCCTGATCCAACATTGGCATCTCTTATGTTCTTAGTACTGAGCCCTGCACCCCCCAGTGCTTACCACCTTCCATTGTGAAAGCTGCCCATTTATACTCACTCCATTTCCTGTTAATTAAACAGTTTTTAATACACGAGAGGACTTGTCCTCTTATCCCATGACTGCTGAGTTTACTTAAGATCCTTTGATGAAGAACTTTATCAAAAACTTTCTGAAAGTCTTGGTAAACACAGCATCTACTGGGTCACCCTTGTCCACATCTTTGTTTACGCCCTCAAAGAACTCTAAAAAGTTAGTGAGACAAGGTCTTCCCTTTCAAAATATATGCTGATTCTTCCTCAATAGCTTTTGTTCATCAATGCGTCTACTAATTCTATCTTTAATAACAGATTCCTCTAATTTACCCAGTATCAACATTAGACGGATCGGCTTGTAATTTCTAAGATCTCCTCTGGAACTTTTTTAAAGATGGGAGTTACATTAGCTACCTTGTAGTCCTTGGGAATGGAGGCAGATTTTAGTGATAGATTTCATATTTTGTCAGGAGATCCACAAGTTCACATTTGAGTTCTTTCAGAACTCTTGGATAGGGTTGCCACGTCCTTACCTGCTGCCAGCAGGAGGATTGGGGGGGGCATTCTGGGAGTTGGTGGGGCATCATCAACATGATTATGTCACTTCCAAGAGTGATGTCATCACATCAGGGAAACGCTCTACTTTTTGGTCAAAACTCTATGGTAAAATGGCTACAAATCATAGAATTTTGCCCAAAAAGTAGTGTGTCACCCCTGACATTGCCAACACAATGACGTCACTTCTGGAAGTGATGTCATCACATCAACGACGTTGCTGAGGGATGTCTTTTTGGGGTGGGTTTTCCCCTGATGGCCGGCTGGCCAATGGTAGGCCCAAGCCTGCAAAAACAGGGGATCCCCTGCCCCCAATTGGGGTCTGGCAAGCCTACTCTTGGGTTTATGCCATTTGGGCCTGGTGATTTGTCAGTTTTTAATTTGTCCATCAGTTGCAGGATCTCCTCTCTTGTCACCTCAATCTGACTCAGGTCTTTCAACACCCCTCATGAAATTGGTGGTTCTGGAGTGGGCAAGCACCTCCCATCTTCCACAGTGAACACAGAGGCAAAAATGCATTTAGCTTCTCTGCCATTTCCCTATCAGAGAGTCAGTTTGGTGTAGTGGTTATCAGCAGCGGATGCTAATTTGGAGAACTGGGTTTGATTCTCCACTCCTCCACATGCAGCCAGCTGGATGACCTTGGGTCAGTCACAGTTCTCTCAGAGCTGTTCTCTCAAGAGCAGTTCTCTCAGGGCTCTCTCAGGCTCACCTACCTCACAGGGTGTCTGTTGTGGGGAGAGAAGGGGAAGGAGATTGCAATCCACTCTGAGACTCTGAGTGAAGGGCAAGGTATAAATCCAACTCTTGTTCTTCATCATCATCCTTTAGCAATTATTTTACCCCTTGGTCATCCAGTGGCCCCACTGCCTTCCTGACTGGTTTTCTGCTTCTAATGTATTTGAAGAAATTTTATTGCTGGTCTTTATGTTTTTGCAATATGTTCCTGATAGTCCCTTTTGGCCTGTCTGATCACCAACATGCATTTTATTTGCCAAAGCCTGTGCTTCCTTTTATTTACCTCACTTGGAATAGCCCTCCACCTCTTAAATTTTTTTAAAATCTTTTATAAGTATCTGTTCATTAACCATGCAGGCCTTTTTTATACCTATTTGTACCTTTCCTAACCTGTGGTATACATTTTATCTGATCTTCCAGGATTGTAATTTTAAATAGTCTCCAAGCTTCCTGAAGGAATTTGACCCTGCTTACCTTTCCTTTTAGTTTCTTCTTCACAAGTCCCCTCACTTGAGAGAAGTCACACCTTTTAAAGTTAACTGTGGTTATGTTGGTCTTTTGGGGCAACTCCCTATTTACATAAATGCTAAACTTAATGGTATTATGGTCACTGTTCCCAACGGGTGCTGTCACATTTACATCTCTCACCAAGTCTTGAGTATTACTTAGGACCAAGTCCAGGATCACCTCCCCCCAGTAGGTTCTGTGACCGTCTGCTCCATGGCACAGTCTTTGGGAGTATCTAGAAATCCAGTCTCCTTCTCCTGACTTGAACACATATTGACTCAATCAATGTGTGGGTAGTTAAAATCACCTATTATGAAACAGTTATTTCATCTAGCTTCTTTACTTAATTCTTTTGCTGTTTTAAAATTATCCTCTAACCTTTGATCTGGTGGGCAATAACAAACTCCCAGAATTAAGTTTCTTTTTGGGCGCACTATTTCCACCCATAGCATTTCTGTAAGCAAATCTCTCTTACCTTCTCAATTTTACTGGACTATATACCCTCTCTGACATACAGAGCCACTCCACCTCCAACTCTTCCCTCTCTATCCTTCCAATATAATTTATTTCCAGAAATCACTGTATCCCACAGATGATCCTCATCCCTCCAAGTTTCTGAAATGCCCACAATATCTGTCTGTCTATCTATCTATTACTGTAGCCTTGAGCAGAAAATAAAATAATGAAATAAAATAATGCCTTACTTGATATTCTTCTGCTGCTGTTTAATTATTTCCCCTACAAATTTTGCTACAGAGTAACAGAATAATTTGTATCCAATAATAACCACATCACCTGTGTCCTCGTACTATCAGGTGCCTCGTTAGACCTTTCCATCATTTGGATGCCCCCAATGTCTATATTCTCCTCTGACACTAAGCATTCCAGCTCCCCCATTTTACCTTGGACACTTCTAGCATTTTTATTCCTTAAAGACATCTTTATTGTTTATTCCTGACTTTTTAAAAAGGACAGTACTGGTTGGATTCAAATCCATCTTTGTTTTGTGTTTTTTCTGTTTTGGTTTTTTTCCAGGTTCTAGAATTTCAGGACCATTATTTCCAAAAGGGGAACCAATCTGAGGATCTAGTGTGGTTAAAAAAAAAAAAAGATAATGGCCCCCAATCTGCACAGAACATAGTCATTCCTCTAATCTAAAGACCCCCCCCCCAAAGTTCAATCAGAATGGATAACGAAATTTGATTTTAAAGTCCCTTGAAGCAGATGCCTCTCAGTAGAGTTCTCGCCACAGTTTCCTATCGGAGAGCACCAGGCTCCAGCATTTTTTTTAAAAAAAATCCTGGCTGCATCTATTTTCTTTCCTAATAGTGACTAATAATAATTTTCTTTCACCTTTCTGCTGAAAACTCTGCATTTGCCATCCTTCTTTGTTGTGGCCTGCTGCCTCTTTTCACAAAGTACAGAAAACTGCCCTCTCTTGCCCCATCACTGCAATCTTTGAAAATAGTTGGAATTTTTTAAAAAAGTGTGTGTATGTGTGTGTGTATGTGAGAGAGAGATTGCATGTGATGGATAAAGAAGAAGAGCCTGTTTTAATGTCCTGCTTTTCTCTATCCTAAGTAGTTTCAAAGTGGCTTACAATTGCCTTCCCTTCGTCTCCCCGCAACAGGCACCTTGTGAGGTAGGTGGGGCTGAGAGAGTTCTGAGAGAACTGTAACTGGCCCAAGGTCTGGCCCAAGGGGGGAGTGGTTCTCCAGATTAGAGTCTGCCAAGTCTTAACCACTACACCACACTGGATCAATCGTTTGTTTGCTATAAGTCACATGTCTTCATACTGAGCATCCACTGTAGGGGTACATTAATTATTTCTACCATTTACTGCTATTTAAAGAGTTTCTGGTGGGTAGGGGTCCCTTTGAAAATGTTTCAGAGCAGCAGCTGCAAGCCTTAAAAAATTGCTTTTCTAGGGCTTGCCTTTAATGATGATTAGCTGAGAGCACTCTTGATCCCTTGCAAGAGAGAAATGCCAATTGCCCAGAAAATCAGGAAAGAAAAATAAGGCATCTGCTGCTCCTGACATGAAGCACCTGAACAAGAAAAAAAACAACATGGGTTTTTTTAGGTGGTGCTTTTCATAATGCCTAAGAATCCTGGATTTGTGTTTCCCATTCAGGAAATCACAGTAATAACCTGAAACAGTGATTTATGTATATCTTTTCAGTTCAGAATTTCAGAATGCAAACCCATAGTAATCTTAAAGTGAAAAAGGAACCTTTTGTCTCTTTCCATCCATCATTTATCTCCTCTTGTCCCTTCTTAGCAGATGATTGTTCTATCCATTCTCTTCTAGCCTCAATACAAAAATAGATATTGAAGAAATAAACAACAGGAAGTGGCTTCGCCACTGTGTGCATTTTTGCCATACTCCTTAGCTGATAATGGAGCCTTCAGAATTATCTATTGCTGAGACTATAAATTGTCAGATGTTGGCACTTCCTTTGCAGAATGAAGCCTTGTTGTCCCACTTCCAGTCTCTGGTTCCCATTTCATACATAAGAATATTTCTCTTGGTGAAGTATTAGTATAATGGCTGTTTTTCAGTCACATTTTAGTTTTTCAGCAAAGTAAATGTGGGATGCAAAAAGAAGAAGTAAAAATAGAAAAATATCAAGTGTTGTAACCATCCACACACGTCACTGCATGCAGAAATAAGAAGCTAATGTTTGTTTTGATCAGATCCAGTGTTAGTTGCTGTTATTATCCCACTTAATACATATTGAGTTCTAGTCCTGGGGAAAATCTACCATCAAATTCTTATTGTAGCAAAAAAACAAAGTAAACCAAACTGACATTTAGATCCGTAACGTGGAACAAGGTTTTTGATGGTGGTGGGGGTCCCCTAGAATCCACACAAAGATCGAAATGTTGATCAGAGAATATCAACAGCATATAGTTTCTCTTAGAGGTCATGTAAAAAAACAGAAAAAGGCAAAAGTTAGAAAACATAGTGCTGTCTAATATTACTATGTGAGGCTATAGTTCAGCATCCTCTAGCAGAGGGTGGCAGAGCCTTGTCTAAAATTCATGTTGTCACCTAGGAAAATGTATAATTGTGCTAAGCTCTGCAGCACTAGTGCTCCTGCCTGATTGATAGGATACTGTATAAAAGAGCTGTAGAGAGTTGTAGCTGCTCCCTCCTCAAACAAGGATACTTATGGGGCACTATAATGCATCTAAATGTACAACATATGGCACAGTGGTAGAGAAATTGCTTTGAATGCAGGAGATCCCAGATTCAGTCACTGAGATCTTTGGTAGCAGGTGCTGAGAAAGACCCTAAAAGCTGCAGTCAGTCAGAGCAGACTACTGAAATAGATGGACCAGTGCTACCTTTACTTATTTTGGGGGGGAGAAAACATGTTCCAGCCATTCCAATTCAGGGTCACTGTTGTTGGAACAACCATTCAGACAACTGTTCTCAAAGATCATTGCTTTTGAAGCAAAATTTCGAAGTGATAGTATGCATGTTTTTTCAAAACTCCCCCTCCTTCTGAATAGGCATTTTCTTCCTCATTTTAGGAGATCTGTGTGTGTGTTAAATGTCTAGTGCTAGAGCTGTGTATTGTGATGCTGAATTAATTCTACAATTTATGTATTCATTTATTTATTTTCAACTATAACATGCTTGTGGGCAGGCTGAAATCATAGAAGAGTTGCAAAGAATAAAGAAACAAAGCTTCTGTTTGATGACAACTTTTCAACTGTAATGTTAACCACAGAGAGGCATGACACTTGAATTCTGATCAACTAGTAACATTAATTCTCTCTTTTCCTCTTCTAGGTTAATATTCTGCACAATTCCAACTCTAATATTATGGAATATGTAAATCATATGGTAATACAGCCACAATTTCTCCAGTCTATACATCACCCAGAGGAGAGCATAAACAGTATTCATAGCTCAGGTATTAACTGTGTTAATACGGATTGAATTGCCAGAAGATACCCCAAAACCATTTAGTTCAGCTTTCAGTTTCTGGCAGTAGCCACCCAAATGGATGTGAACTTTTATCATCATAGCAGGAACATATGAATGGCATTTTCATTTCATTGTCATGGGAAAAAGCCCTGGATAGGACTGAAAATTGTTAAATTTGTCCATCCTCTTAGAAGAGAGAGATAAACTATGTAGGTGTTCTGGGTAGTTGTTCCTTGCACAGAAAGGGTTTCAAGAGAAGAAGGATGGCACCACCTATGGCTCATCTAGCCCAGCACTTTGCTAGCCATCCCACAGAAATTAATATAAAAATTGCTCTGCTGCCTTTTTTATGTTAAGCTCCAGCAGTGTGAGTCCATTTCCTTTCAATCAAACCTGTCTCCTTTGTACAGGGTTGGCTTGTCCCAAAGCCTTCTGCACTGCTTAAGAAATCTAAATCCTTCCTGAACCACCATCTTATCCATTTATTGACACACACACACACCCTACCCCATCTCTCTCTGTCTAGCTGGCTCTGTATGTGGAACAGGCAGTATTGCTAAGAAAGTTGCCTCGAAGGTTTTTAATTTCCCACCCAGCAACCTATTTTTTTCTTCCAGGACCGCACAACTACACTTCCCACTGTCACTGATGCTACCAAAATCAAACTGATGCTTCCAAAAGCAAACTGAGCATCAAAATCAAATTGATGTTGTCATTGATGCTACCAAAATGAAATGCATTGATGCTACCGAAATCAAACAAAGAGTACTACACTATAAGAACCTCCTGGTGATCCCTGGCCCAAAGGATATACAGCTGTCCTCAACCAGAGCCAGGGCTTTTTTGGCCCTGGCACCAGCATGGTGGAACTCTCTGCCTAGTGACGTCCATGTCCTGCAGGACTTAAAACAGTTCCATAAGGCCTGTAAGACAGAGGTGTTCCACCAGGTCTATGGTTGAGGACATCAATAGTTTACCATCAAGCCTGGCCTCCCTGTCTCCTCCCCAAGGGAGGATACCTAATGTCTAACATCATCTGATAAGTTTTTATTGTTATTGGTTTATTGTTTTACATTTTTTATCTGTATGTGTGCACTTTTTATCTGTATGTGCATATAATTATTTATTAGAATTGTATTTATAAATTGTTGTTAACTGCCCTGAGCCCCACTGAGGGGAGGGCAGTATATAAATCAAATAAATTATAATAAAAAGTAATGAGCACTGACTCCTTTGCTGCACTATCTCCCAGCATATTTAGGCAATTCATAATGTCAACTTTTGCACCAGGTACAAAGGTCAATATGCACTCAAAACACTGGTCACAGACCCACCATTATACATCACTAAGGATTGGAGCTCCTACTACCCCTCCTTTTATCCCTTCAGCATGAGAGAATATACATTTGTCTGAGGAATGGGTCCTCTAAGAGATCCTTCCCTCCTTCTCAGACTGACAGCCTCCTATTCTCTCTGACAACAGTGAAACTGTCAACATGGAATTGGGATGCCTCTAGCACATCTGTGAATGTCTACATACTTGTCTGCTTCTCTCAGCATCCTTAACCTTAAAGGAGATGGAGTAATTTATCTGAGAGTCAGGAACTCATAGCACCAAGTACACACTCGCAACTCTGGCAGGCATATAGTCATACATGCGACACACTGTACAATTTCCTTGCAGGCTTTCTGCTTCCATTACTGTCTGTCTTTTACTGCCCTTTAGTTTAAGATAAAGTGTTTATTTGGCACTATGCAGTTATCCAATAGCGAGAGCAGAGTCTAGTGCCCTGGACTACTTGCTCAGTTACTGAACTCACACAGATGCTCGACTCTCTCATGTGTTACCCTTCATTGCTGAGTCTCTGAGTTTTGACTTGCTTACAAGCTAGTCTTAAAGAAACAACTATGGCAAAAACTCTGCCTTTCAGTTTGGCAAGTCAGAGTACTTGAAATCTAGGTAATAAAACAAATAGGGTTTGCCAGCTACTATGGTGCTTGAGCAATGGGTGGTAATTTAAGGAGGTCAGCGGGAGCCCTTCAAGAGGCAGAGATCTACTCTGCCTTGACACCTTTCTGGGCTGGCTTAAAATGTAATCTATAGTCTTTAGAGTCAGACTTTTACATTTAGCTTAGAGCTAGGTATAGCTGTGACTATTGCTGTCAACTACCTCAGCAGAGTTGAGAGGCTGCAAGTTGCCACAGAAATTTCATCTGCAAACTACCTAAATAATCCTGTGACAATGTACAAAATTTGTCAGTCAGCTCATATTCACACATTTAGAAGGGTGGCAACCCCAGAAGCGGCCTTCTCAGTCATGGAGCTAAAACTCTCCAGAAGGAGATTCATCTGTTTCCCTCTATTGTTGTCTTCTGACAGTGGTTAAAGACTTTTTTTGCTTTGTTTGGTGTTCCCTCATTAACTCTCATTGGCTCTCCTCCCTGTTTTTTGTCTTGGTGTGTGCTTATACGTTTTGTTTAATTATATTAAATATTGTATAGATTTTATTATGTATTTTAAACGTTGTTTGGATTGTTTGCTACCCTGGGGACCCTGGTGGGTGAAAAGGCAGCATGCAAATATTTTACATCAATAAATATATTCTCTGTATGTTTATATAAACAAAAATAAGATGTATTGTATGGATGGAATATAGGGAAGATATGTTTACTCCATTCTTATTTCATTCTAGTACTTCCAAGTGTGGCTACAATTGTCATAGTAATCTGTGTCAGCATCCTAGTCTTCATTGTTGCTTTGGGGGTATATAGAATTCGGTCAGCTTACCAACTTAGTTCAAAGGAAAATGAAAGCAGTAAAGAAAATGAAATGGATTGGGATGATTCAGCTTTGACCATCACTGTCAACCCTATGGAGGTAAGCAACAAAGCATATCTAACAACTTTTTTTAAATTTGACATTATCTATAGTTACTTTTACAGTGAGTTCTTTGAATGTTAAGGTCATATAATTGTGTAATAGGGTTGACAGGTCCCTACCTTCTGCCAGTGGGAGACTCCTGGCTCCTCCTTGGGATCTTCTGGTGTGCGCACGTAGCACGCACACCACAATGACTTCACCCAGAAGTGACATCATCACACTAGGCATGTCGCCGGGGACACTCTAGCATTCAGCCAGAAACTCTATGGCAATGTGCCCGGTGCAATGACATCACCTCCAGGTGAAGTCATCGCACTGGGCATATTGGCACAATCCCAGGACTTTGGGGGTGGAGTTCCCCTTGCCGGCCGGATCTGGGGGAATAGTAAGCCTATTGTGTAAGACTGGAATGGACACTTGAAAGATGATCAGCTCAACATTTTAGCCTAATGCAGGATTCCCCTCAAAGCCTATCACCTTGGTTATGGCCTAATCAGTCATAAAACCAGGCCTATTTACAATACCACACCCAGTGACAAGCATGAATTGAGTAAAAAGAGATCCCCGTACAGGGTGATCCCAAAGCCTCTTGCTTGGTTCATAACTGTGACTGGCTAATCTCATGAAAACAAAGTTTGAGTCAAGTGGCACCTTTGAGGCCAACAAAGTTTTATTCAAAGTGTAAGCTTTCATGTGCAAAACATACTTCTTCAGACAAAACCAGAATAAAATCTCAAAAGCTAGTTACAGGGCAAAGAGGATGGATGGGGGGTAAGCTGTTAGGAGAGGCCACTCAGAGCCCAGATGCATATGGAGAGCTGAAATTTGAATGGATGGCCAGTAGGATCAATGGATGGCAGCAAATTAGCACTTAAATGCAAAAGTTAACAAAGAGATGTGAGAATGAAATTGGAGTCCAGCTAATCTCATGTTGTTCCAAATGGGAGGCTGGATGGTAAGGTGGTGTAATGCTGATAAGGATCTCTTTGAAGTCCCCCTGTCCATAGGCAGTTCTACCTCATGTTATATATGAATTAAAGTAGGCTGGCACAATGACATCCATGGTTTGAACAGAGCCTTGAATGCATGTTAGCCTCCAGAAGTGAAATTTCGGCTCAGCAGTTTGTATCACAGACCTCGCTAGACATCTGGCAAAATATTGATGAATTTCAAAACAGGTAAGAACACTGTTTTTCTAAGTGGGATATTCCTCCTGTGTGTTTCTGCACAATATAGAAATATGAAGAGCCTCATCATGCAGAGGAAGAAAGTGAGGAGGAGGAAGTAGAAGATGAAGAAGATGATACAACCAGTGCTGAGTCAGATGAAAGTGAAGAAGAGGAGGAGGAAGAGGAAGAAGAAGCCACTGGAAACAAACAAAACAAACAGAATACCACCAGGCAAGATCAGCTGGAGTGGGATGATTCAACACTACCTTACTAGAAACCCTTAGTCCTATTGATTGCTCCTTTTGTAAACACCGTGTATTTCTGAGTCAATCCTACTGAGTGAACCCCACCATGGATCTATGAATTAATTGACAGGATTTAACTCCTATTGACTACAGATGATAGAATTGCATTGCCTAAATTTGATGTAGTTGTATCAAACTGCTCCAGATAGTTGTTCCTTCCTAGTGTATGGGTAATGGCACCTGGTAAAGCACAGGGTACAACCATTAGTGTGTCACCACTAATAACAGCACCAGTCTGAAGCCGTCTGTTCCTTACTCTGTTTCACCCCTTCCATGGAAGCCCCTGTGACCTTCTAAATACAAATATGCAAAAGTCCTGCTGTTTGGTCCATAGAGGAGACAGCTCAGCTTACATTAAGAGTAATTGCTGTGCAAACAATTTTAAAAAGGCCTGGGTTTTATTTTACTGTGTCTGGATAAAGTACCTTCTCTTCAGAGGTGGAGAAAGGTGTTGGTGCTGCTCATTACAGAGGACAAAATTCATTTGCTGTCTTTCAAACATTTCTGCTCTGTGGTTAATTGCATCATGCAGAAGGATTCTTTATACTTAAATGGGGGGGCGGGTTGCACATGCCCATGTACTGGTATGAATAATCCATTTCACTGCTCATGTTGTTAAAACCTTGCAGTCAGAAATCCTTATCCAGTCCACCACTGAAGGTAGAGTAATGCCATGCAAAATCCCATAAAATGAAACCTTTGCTTATAATGGCTTTCAGTGCCCTTTGCCACACAAATTAAGGATGTTATCTGATGTGAAATGCGGTTTAAGCTGGAATGTGGCTTTGACTAAGACCTGTGCTTCTGATGTGCACAGAAAACCTAATCTATGTAACCTGCTTTGCAAATCATTACCTTGTTGCAGAATTATACGGCAACACTTATGCTGTAGTTTGGTTTGGTTGGGGTTTAGATTAGTACTGTTCAAAAAGATCAAAGAAACTGTATAGACATTGGGAAACCATTTCCTTTTTGACTGTTAAAAGAACTGAATTAATTATTGCAGTTGGAATTGTTGCCTGGTTTATTCTATTCAATACCATCATTAGAAGCCAAGCAAGCCATGGCTCAAGTGAATGGGACAAAATAATTTCACTAGCTATTGTTTGAATCCCAACCTGGTCTGCCATTTTACTTCAACAAAAACCTTTGTTTGGGAAATACAAGAACAAGAGATGATTATGCAGAACTTTAAAACAACAGCAGGTAGTGTTTGAAAACAAATATCATATTTTATAATGTAGGGTAGCTTTTTGTTTTTCTAACCGTTGTGTTCTAAATGTGCAGAACAGGTTGACAAGTCTGCATGGTTTATTATGTTATTTCTTTTCTCCTTAATATTCTTTGTGGCTGTATAGTTACCTGAATGCCAAATAGCACAGTATTTGATGCTGTGCATATTTTAAATATATAGCAGCCAAGACGGTTGACGTAGCAGTAAAGGATGCTGGTTTACAGCTTCTTGTTTATACTTTCATAATATTTCTCCCCTAAAGACTTGTATGTGTTTTATCTCATTATCTGAGATTTAAAGGAGTGCCACTTTGTCATCTCAGGCCAAGAAAGACTCTGTGTATGATCACCAAATCAGAGATTAGAGCATTTTATGATTTGGAATAAGAAAGCTCCTTTCGTTTCGTTTCGTTTCCTTTTTTTTTTTTTTTTGAGAAATAGAGATTTTAGTTCTGCCAAAGGGTATAAATGCTCAGTCATGGGAAGAGAAGTAGCAAAGCCCTTCCTCCTACCTGATCAAAAGATCAAAGCCATGGACATTCTTGGATTCCCATTTACATGTGCCATATTTGAAACAGAGAGGAGTTAAAGAGACTCCATTGTAGCAACTGCCTCTGCCTCTTTAAGGTAGTAGCCTCTGCTTTGAGAATTATGGGTGTAGAGACTGCTGTGCAGACACTGCAGTGGCACTCAGGACCTGACTTCCCTACCACTGGGTGACATTCACAAGTCCAATTATAGCACAAGGTCTAGGTAAAGCAGTTTCTCCACCCTTCCTGATAAGCCATGAACATGAACTAATTTAAATAATGTATATATTAAAATATATCCATACTTTTAAATCAAACTAAGCTTCAAGAAGAATCTATATTTTAAATTAGGGCTTTATTTATTTTACCAACCTAAGCAAACATTTTGTTAAGATATAAAATAATACCATCAAATCCCAAATAGAAATAGAATATCAATTGAAATATTGTACCAGCTTCTCTTTCCATCATACTTGAGAGGATCTATGACAAATGCAGGTTCCCTTGTGGTACCAAACCAGCAACAGCACGACTCTAGAATTACCTGTTTGATAACTGCAGAAAATGTCATTGTATCTCTTTAATTAGTTGGTTGTTGAGTTTTACCTTAAGAGTGGCCTTCATTCAGCCAGTCCCAGGTTGATCTCTCTGTGTACTGATAGCTTCCCTTTCCAGTTTTTTGCTGTAGTGCACAACCAGAAGTGTAGAGAGCTCAGAGCAAGAGAAAGCTGTCTTTTCTCCCAGGGCTGCTCTAACACTTGGGCCTGTTCCTGGTTCACAGCAGCAAATCTCTTATACTCCTGTAAGAGCAAATCCTGAGTCTCTGATGAGGATATCTGTATGGTACATGTATTTCAGATACTTGCTTGGCACATTCATAGTTTACACTTTTAAACAGACACAGAAATCTTAGGCATACACCTGAAAAAAAAGCTATGTTTGAATAACTGAACTGTGAAGCAAAGAAGTTCTGGAAAAGGAAACCTGAACTCCCAAATTCGAGGTGCATGGATGCAGTGCAGCTGAACATTCAGAAAGACAATTAAAAAATTTCACAGACAGGCTGTTGATTTGTTTACATTCAGAGGTAGTAATCAATTAGAGTCTGAGAGGATGGGGGAAAGGCACTGGATTAAATAGTTAAGGCAATTAGCATCCTGGATGCTCATGTTGCACTTATAATGGAATAGTGAATGTCTCCAGGGGACCATACAGGAGGATATTCTAATGAAGAGGTTGAATGAAATGGCTAAGGTAACTGATGCAGTTTTAACAGGCAAGGCTTATCCAAGGGCTACAAGAATCCATTGTAGGCTTTCTTGCTTGCATTGTGGATTGGAATGGATGTTAATAATTCATATTTAGTTACTAGAACCAGACTGGGCAGGTTAGCCCGATTCATTACAAAAGGTATAAAGGCAAGGTGAGTTGTGCTCTAAACTGTAAATATGTCCAGTTTCTACATGAATGATGTCAAAGCCTCTGTTCTCTCCAAGGGAGTTTCCAAACCATTTCTGGGATGCTCTCTACATCCACTGGCAGTGAATTCCACAATCTAGTTACTCATTGAGTAAAGAAGTATTTTGTTTTGTCTGTCCTGAATCAACTGCCTTTTTAGAGCCATTTAAGACAGTGGATCTGTTGCTAGTCTAGCTTTCCTTTTGTACATTTCCGTTGACATTTATGTTTATATTTAAGGAGCTGACCTTGTCACACTGCCAGCATCACAGAGATCACTTGGTTTAGCTTGCTTCTTAATGTCACAGTCCAGTCTTCTGCCCATACATGCACATTTTCACAGAAACTTTGTTAATCCAGAAAACGTTCCATTTATTTATTTTATTTCATTTCATTTATACCCCGCCCTCCCCGCACGCAGGCTCATGTTGCTCATGTTGTATGTACTAGGATCATCTGTACCACATGGGAATATCCACAACATTTTTTAAAGTGAGGTCCCTTTTATGCTTCTGCCTTCCTTGAAACAGCTGCAAAGTGTGGCTTCAGACACATGCTTAGCATGTCTACAGTTTCATTTTTTCCTACACAAACTATCCTTTTGGTTTTCCCTTTTGTGAGTGTGCCACATCTCACAATAGACAACACAAAGGTTAGTTTTGTGAATTCATGATACATTCAGGTTTAGATTTTCTAGCAGGTCAGTTGACAGATACATAAAAGCAAGGGAATCATTTCAGTGGTGAAGTCATGTTGATAGAGAGTAACATGCTGGAATAATCACTTAAGTGTAATAGTCGCAGATTTAAGAGCAGTAGAACGATCAGAAGCTTGACTGGAAAGAAGTAAGGTTTGCAGCAAGTGTTGGTGGCAAATGTGGGAAAAGAGTTCATTTGAGTGCTTAGAACAGAGCTGTGTGAAAAATGTGAAAGTGACACAGAGAGCAGCCCATTATACTGAACATGAGAGAACATGAACTACATGCTCTGCTCCCTCCTCCAGGAGTGCATGTATATGCATGAGTGCATGTATGCATGATGTGGTGGCATCCTTAGTGGGAGGCAACCACTGAATGGCATCTTGCAGTACTTTGGGCAATTTAGTCTTTCTTAGGTGAGGCTGCATTTGGGTTCCAGACTGAATTGTATTAGCTAATGTGGATTTATGGATACTTAGGATTCTCAACTATGAACTGAAAACCATATTTTCAAGACCTGCAGTTTCTATTAAGTCCAGGTTCTAGAGGGAAAGCATGGGGATATTGTGCCATTAAGTTCAGAAATGTGTCATTGTTGTCAACATGATTCCTAAGATCTGTGTTAGCCTGTAAGTGTCAGCATCGCTTCTTAATGGTTAAACAGAACTGAAAGGAGCTTGGCAAACAATGTGTTCTTTTATCATATGATATCACTTACTCCATGTACTCAAATGCCAAGTGGATCTCACCTTCCCTTCCACACCACTCTGCCACAAATGATGTAGTGTCTAAGCTTGCTATCAGAAAGTGCTGTAACAAGCAATTACAAGCATTATCCCTTCAGAAGTTCATCAAATTGTGATCTTTAACCATAATGGAATCCTTTTGTTTCATCTAATTAAACAGGTGACGGTGTCTGTAAAGCAGCTATTGTATTGTATGCCATTTGCTTCTTTATTTGGTATAGAAATACAGCCTCTGTAATCTGCAGGTTACTGGAAAATCTCATTCCACAATATGTACTTCCTGATTAGATTAATTATATATGTGC